CCTTGTAGCCTTCTCTCTGGCAAGCAGCACTGCTGACCCCTCTCCTAGCTTTCTCCTCTTGGTCCTCAACCATGTGGGGTGGGGGCAGGCTGGGCTCCTGCTGCAGAGAGTAGATAGAGAGGGTACCCCTTAGGAGCTGCTGTTAGGGTCCTCTAACTAGAGACTGAGGGTTGGGAGGATAGCATTTGGCTTAACTCTGTTCATGCTTCCTCTTTTCTTGCTATTGGGTTCTGGGTAGGCAGGGGGCTAACCTGAGAGTGAGAGATGGGGGGCTGAAGTCCGGGCTTTATGTGGCTAGAACATAGCCATTGGCCTTCCTGGTGTCGACTTCAGGAGCCCACACAATAGGGCCCAGCTATAGATTTGGGGTTGCCCACAAAGCTCTTACATTTGGAATTTTATTATGATGAGAGGAAGGATGCCTAGACCCCACCTAAGATGGAGGAATTTCTTGGTAGCATTGAACATTGAACTAGACCCTGCAGAGGAAAGGGAGAAAGATGTGGCTTCTGTCATTGCACAGTTCGTAGTATAAGGCAGATAGAATTTTCATGAATGTTCAGACATAGTGGTTGCCCAGCAGTGCATGTGGCCCTCTAGCTTGGTTTTACTACTGAGAGTTTTGTGGTTAAGAATTAATTAGAAGGAATGAGTCTTTCTTTCCTAATTGTTAAAATTTTGGATTCACTTGGTTCTAATTTCTTATGATTCACTTCTCTTGAGAAAATAGCTATGACTCTATCAGGGGTTATTTTTTTGCTTTTTAGACACCAGTGAAAATCTGTTAAAATCAAGGTGAGTTTCCCCGGGAGGTCAGGTGTGGTGTGTGGTGGGGCTGCACTTGGAGTAGGGGGAACTTGAGCCTGCTCCCCAATAATAGATAGTGAGGACCTGAAACCTATGTGGGGGATGGAGTCCCCACTGGGTCTAGAATGGAGATGCTTGGGCTGTAACTGGGCTACTTTTGTTTTTTGTTTTTAAGATTGATTTATTTATGCATTCAAGAATTGGGGTATAGGCCAAAGGTACAGGGTGAGAGGATTCACCAGAGACAGAGTGGGGAGCAGAATAGGTGGGTCTACTGAGATAGACTGCTGAGAGGAACAGCGGGCAAGATAGGAGAGGTCCGCTGCACCATGTGGGTAGCTCCCTGCCTGGGGATTGAACTCAGGTCATAGTGACTGGTGATAGCTTGATAGCATTGAGATTTTAACCCCTTGTGCCACCAGGGAGGCCCCAGTAACTGGGCTGCTTTTGAAAGAGTGCTCATCAGTGTTGCTTTTTCTCAGCAAAGATGGCAGCTATGCAGAGAGGTGCACAAATGTCCTCAACTGCCCTCCTTCCCTGTGTTACAGTAGATGACCTTGGGTGCCCTTGGGCAGCTAGTGAAGAGACAGGACCAGACTGGGAAAATATGAGTGTATGTGATAAGGAGGGGTGGGCAGAATTTCCATTTTTTTAAAGATTTATTTATTTATACAAGAAATGGGGTACAGGCCAGATGCGTGGGAGGGTGAGAGGATTCACCAGAGACAGAGTGGGGAACAGAACAGGCAGACTGACGAAATGCACTGCTGAGGGGAGCAGCGGGCGCTACAGGAGAGGTCTGCCGCGCTGTCTGGGACCCTTGCCACCAGCTGGGATTGAACCGCAGCGGCAGAGGCTGCAGACAGCTTCACAGCGTGGCACTCAACTGCCTGCGCCACCAGGGGAGGTCCCAGAATTTCCATTTTTATCAAAATGCCTTGCAGTTGCATCCTGTAGTGGTGGTGGTGGGTAGTGGTCTAAAGAGTGATAAGCCATGAATTCCTAAAAATTTGTTCTTTTGCTCCAGAAAGCAGTTGGAATTCTATTTCCACATTGGCCATTCTGTAGACTGTGTCATGGAGAATCTGCTGGTAGCCAACCCCCTTCATGCACTCAAAGTCTTCACTGTCTTTTCCTTAGAATTAGAAGTGTCCCCTGTCTCATGTTCTTCCCTTGGTGTTTGGAGCATAATTAAAGATAACAGCAAACTAGTGCCAGGCACAGTTGAACTCCCAGGCTTCTAAAAGTGTTTCACTGTTGTCTTCTGAGTTTGTGTCACTGCCTGGGGCAGGACCTTTGTCCTGTAGTATGTGTGGACACCACACTCTGGTAACCTGTGTGGGCCACTGAGTCAGGGGGTCAGGTGCAGGGCAGTGCCCTTACTCTAAGAACTGGACACAAAGGACATCTGTGTTTTGGAGGACTGGAACCTGGGCGGCAGCAGAATGTTTGCCAAGGAAGACTGGCGATGAGTTTTGGAATTTTCTTTCACTGAAAGTTAGACCATCCACGAATAAAGAAGGAAACTTGGCTCAGCTGGATCAGAAGGTTTTCAGATGACTAGATTCTGGGACTAGGGGTCGGTTTCTGCATGGAATGTCCTCATCTAACTGTCAGAGTGTCTAGGGCATCACACAAGTGAAACATGACTCAGAGAGAATAATAGTGGCCCTTCGAAGGGCCCTTGGGGACGAGGTAAAAAGATATGGGTAAGTATTTGATTAATGAAATGTAGGCTTGCTAAGGGACCAAGACCTCAGATAATGACCGCACCTGACTTAGAGGTGAAACACTGGGCTGGGACAGCATTATTTCTCCAGGCCTGTCCCTGGATGAGGGTCCAGGTCGGCTGACTGCTCCCCTGGCATTCTTCTCTGTCCCCTGACCCCTCTGTTGTGAAGGGCCACCACCTTTCAAAGCGCACCAATCTAGTTGGCCAAATGAAGCCACGTCCTCCAATTTCCAGCCAAATCCGTTGACATCGACAGTAAAGGCAGCGAGGTTCTCCGGAAGGGCTCACCCAGGTGAGAGACTTGATTTGCAGGGGAGAGAGATGGGCCTCCAGGACCAGGGTTGGGGTGCTTTTCCCAAAGTCTGGTCAATCCTGAGTTCTTTGAGGACAAATTTGAGTGGCTGTTTGTCCTTCTGTTGCTCCTGACAGCCACCCCCTAAGAGATGGCCCCTCTGGAAGCTAAGAAATCAATTGTGATGGAACTAAATGAGATGACAATGCCTCTGCTGCCACCCCAGACCTAACCACGAGTGTGGCCGGGACAGGGGGTGGGGAGGCTCAGCTGTTCCCCATCCCTGAGGAAAGCAGAGCCCTGTGATGGGGATGCTCAGCTGCATGTGTGTGTCCACATGGGAGCCTGCACACACATGTGTTAGGCACCAGTTTAAGAACATGCTTTGCTCAGAATGCTATTAGGACATGGCCTGGTGGCTGGCGTTGTGAAATATATTTAGAGTGAAGAATGTTCGCTGAAAATGTTCTGTACTGTTACTATTTCTCAATTGGGATGGAGCAGCTGTGGCCAGGGACAAGATAACATTGGGGTGAGGCACACTACAGTGTCACTGGTGAGAGTGTATGTGTGTGTGTGAGGGTGTATGTGTGTGATATTGAGAAATCACTTGTTGCCTTTGGCAAGAGGCTAAAGGGAAAGCAAGCAAACAAAACTGTGATTGAGAAAGTGTTCTGCGGAGGGACTGGGTGCCCAGCTCTCGAGGCTGTACACTGACCCGGATGTCTCCAGACCACAGAACCGGTTGGCCTATGCACTGACGAGGCTTCCTGTGGGCCCGCGTGGTTTGACCCACTGCTGGGTTTCTATCGTGGGTTTTGGAAGGTGGTGGTGGGTGGCTTTGTGTAGTTGTTGTGATCTGGGTGCTGCCCATTTGCGGGTATAAGATACCCCCTCCCCTACCTGTTGTTTCGTCAGATTCAGCACCAGCAGCTCACAACCCTCTGTTACGGTCTCAACACATCAACATTCTGATGGTAACAGTCTGTTGGCTCTAAGGGAGCCTTGTGCGTGCTTCTGTCTATCCCCACTCCCCCTGCCTCTCAGCTCCTACCTCGGGCTACCGTTCGCCACCCCACCCTGTTCCTCAAGGCCCAGACCCTGGGCAGGTGGCAGGGCAGGTGGCAATACAAGGTGGGGGTGGATTCTGGACTCCACAGTGGCACGTAAGGGCCTGAGAAGCAGAGTGTGTGGGGGAGGAAAGTCAGTGTTCGGGCAGATGGCCCACCCCACACAGCAGCCAGCAGCTCGTGCTTCCATCCTGGTCCTGCCGTGCGCAGACCCTCTTGAGTGCCCAGCTCCCCACTCACCCACCCCCTGCATTAACTAGATGTAGACTGAGCAGTGGGGTCTGGTGGGGAAAGGCTCCAGTGGGGTGTCAGTGGGAGCATGTCACAGGCTGCACCTCTGACCAGCCTCTGTCCTCCTGGGGTGGACATACCTACCAAGCCACCTCACTGAACTGACCTGATGGTAAAGCTGAAATGATTACTGCCCCCTTCAAGCTCTTCTTTCTGCTGGACTCAATCCCCAGCACGAAATAAAGGGACGATGCTTCCAGAGCGGGGCCTTCGGGGGAGGGCAGGCGTGTTGGGGAGTCCCTGCAGCCTGGATGCCCTGTGAGGAGCATCTTGCATCCAAAAAGACTCAATAAGACGTCAGCTCATTCAGAGCCCCACACACACCAGCCCCTGCAGTGGGAGCGGGAGAGGGTTTGGGGTCAGCTCTCCTGAGGATGAAGGCCTTGGGCAGTGAGCCGCATGGTTGAGACCCAAATGAGGGCCACGCTGTGGCTGAGGCAGTGGCCCCACAGAGGGCCTGTGCTGGCATGGCCATAAGCTTCGTGTCTGTCTGGTGGATTTGGGTTCTCTGTCCTTCCTCTGAAATTGGATGTGACTTTAGTCTTGGTCTCTGTGGGTGAAGCAGTAGCACGTGGCCTGCTCTTCCAGGCCTCAGGCGGAGTACGTGCATCCTTGGCAGCCTCCATGGAAGAAGGGGCCATTGAGGCTGTCTGAAGATCCAGGGAGTCATGTCCCTTAGCACCCACCTCTGGCTTCCATGCCCTCCGTCTCCCTTCCTCCCATCCACCTGCTGGTGAGCCCCAGGTAGGGGTGGGAGGCCTTCTGTGGAGCCAGTGCAGCGGCAACCTGTCTTTTCCTTTCCCTACAGGAAGCTGCACAGTGGGATGAAGACGTACGGGTGTGAGCTCTGCGGAAAGCGGTTCCTGGATAGTTTGCGACTGAGAATGCACTTACTGGCTCATTCAGGTAGGCGAGGACACCCCGACCGGCCCCTTGGAGCTGAGGCAGCCCCCTCTGGCCCCCACCCAGAACTCAGATGTCCCCACTGCCGGTCAGGGCCTCAGTCCCCCTTGTTGCACGATGACCCTTGAGTTCATGGACCGGGGGGGTCATCCCGTTGGCTGGACCATCTGGATGAGCCCACCCTTCCGCTCTGCGGGGTCTCCCAGGGCAGGGTAGCCCCCGGTGCCCTGTGTGATCTACCTTCCGAAGTAGTCTGCAGTTTCATTAGCAAAACAGTTGTGGAATTAGGTTCTCGCTGTCTAATGAATCTGACTATTGGGTTCACATTATACAGGAGCCTTTAATTAAATAGATATAGAAAGGTTGGAACACAAAGCTAGTTACAACGTGCTGTCTTTTGCAAGTTAATTTTATCCAATTCTAGTGGGGTTGGCTGTGCGGCTGCCGGTATTTTTGCTCGTGTTTGGGCAAAGCTGTTCTGCTCTGTGAGGCGTGGAAAGGCGAGACACACCTAATGTCCAGGGTGCCCGGGTGAGGTTGGTGTGGCGGGGGAGGGGCAGAGAGGAGTCACCTGGCCTCAGTGGCTGAGGCCTCCACCCTTGCCAGCCAGGCTGGGGCTTTTCAACCCTGGGGTCACGTCTTGCGGCCAAGGAGAGTTGTCTTCTCTGGTCTGGCTTTCCTCTTTTGCCAACTCTCAGTGTTTCTGCCCATATTGCCTCCAACATCTGGCCCTCTGGGCGGGTGAGCATTTGTGAAATGGGCACAGGCTTTGGAGATGGGCAGAGAAAGATTCAAATCATGCCTGTACCACTGTGTGACCTTGACCAGTTTGTCTTCTGAAGCCCACAACGCTGCTTTTGAGGATCAGGTGACAGAACATGTGAAAGCCACCCATTGTACACTCCTCGCACACAGCTGGTGCTTAATAAATGTCAGTTGCATCTGCCTCTACTTCCTTTTCCTCAGCTCAGAAGCTGTTGTCCTGGGGCGGGGGCGTGTCCCCATCCCCTTATTCCAGAAGCTCCTGGCTTGATTGACAGTTTGCCATCTGTCCTCGCTCCGTCCACGCCTGCATTGTCATGTCTGTGGGTTTGGAAGGTTCTTAGGCTCCTGTTTGCCTCTGCCTTGCAGGGTGACTCTGCCCTGCATCGGATGCTCTCTCTTTCCTGGCCTTCACTCCCCTGAAATGCCCCAGCTCCTCCTTTTCCTTTCTTCCCTCTTCCACATGCAGGGATTGGGCCACAGTAGACGCTGTCTGTCCTGGTGTGTCCACTCTGACCCCAGGTCTTTGTGTGTCCCCTGCTTCCTTCCCCCAGGATGCCCCACCCCTACCCTTTGCTCCACTGAACCAACTCTGCCTGCCCACCTGTCCCACCTTGACCTGGAGTCCCAAGTCCAGGCTTTCCTGTGTTTGGCACCTGCTTGCCACTTGTGTTCCTTCTTGTTCTATTTTTAGAACTTGCACCTTGTATCTTCTTGCTTCCCTTCAACTCTGCATGGTGTTCAGGGTTTCATGAGCTATCCGCCAACCAGGTTGGCCGCCTGCCCCCGCCTGCGGGGTGTGGGTTTTCTGTTTCTTCCGCTCCCGATCCAGACCCCTGTGTGGTCTCTAAGGGGCATGGGACACTGGGGTGCAGGGTGCACCCTTTCATCCTGTGGTTAAAGCTCCCTTGCCCCTCCAAACTCAGCCTGTGAGCATCCTTTCTGTGTATAGAGCTGGAAAGAGAGGTCATCTCGGTGGTTAGACCCTCTGGACTAGGGGCCAATGCTCTGCCAGACACATCGGCTGCTTGCTTTGCTGGATGCAGACCACACACCTTGCTTCCCAGACCCTGTGGCTTTCTCACCCCATTCCCTCTGCTTGAAATACCATTTCTCAGTCTTCCAGTCCTGCCACGGGCCTTCCACAGTGCCATCCGCGACTGCTCCCACCTCCAGCTGGAAGCCATCGTGCTGCCTTCTGCGTGTGCACGGTTTCTTATCCGGAGCTGTGGCCTGGCACCTTCTTTCTTCCTTGTGGTGTGGTTATTTGGGGACTTGCCTTAGCTCCTCTACTTGGGAGTCAGGGCTCTGTATTAGGCACCTACCTCCTGACCATGTGACCCTGGGCAAGAAATGTGGGCTTCCTGAGCCTCGACTCCTCGGCGGTAAGCTGAGAGTACTTACCCCTGCCTCAGAGAAGTTGGGAGGCTGGGTCTGGGTAACTTCCCTCTCCCTCTGTCCCTCCAGTAGACTAGAAGCTGCCTGCACACAGGGTCAGTCCCATTATGTGCAGCCATTGCACAGCACATTCTTGGAGCCCATGGGTGCTGAGCAGCCTGGGAGGCTTAGGAGCACCCGGGGCAACCACAGTCTCCTACTGGGTGTCTCCTGCAAAATAAACTATTAGGACTGCGTCCCAGGGTTTGGCTGGGGGCTGCCAGGGGCCCGCTGGTCTGTACTGGCTAAGCATGGTAGCCGCTGTACCCACCACGGAGCATACTCAACGGTGTTGGTGGGGCCGGTGAGGGAGCAGCGGTGACGTGCCTCCATGGGGGGCGTCTGAGCCAGAGCAGGTCGAGGGCTGCTCCGCTGCCCGGCTGATGTCCTGCAGGGACTGGGGTCTCCTCCAGATGCCCCAGCAGCTTTGGGAATTGGCTTCTATACCTGTAGTCTGGTGGGCAAAGGGTCAGTTTCTCTGCGTTTCACTTGGAGTGCCCTTGTGAAGGAGGATTTGGTGATGGGGGAGGAAGATGGGCCAACCGTGCTTTCATTTACTCTTGCCCAGAGCCTGAAGCCTGCATAGATTCCGCCATTTCTGTTCCCTGCTTTTTCTTTCTATTGTTCTGTATACCTTTCACCCCGTGCCAGGATTTCTGGGAAATAAAATATATATTTTTTTAATATTCCTTTTTTTTTTTTAATTTATACAAGCACTGGGTACAGTCAGAAGCGCGGGAGGGTGAGAGAATTCACCAGAGCCAGAGTGGGGAACAGAACAGGCAGACCGACGAAATACACTGCTGAGGGGAGCAGCGGGCAGCAGGAGAGGTCTGCATGCCATGTGGGGCCCTCGCCGGGGGCCGGGGATCGAACCGGTGCTGCAGAGGCTGCGGACAGCTTCACAGCCCAGCGCTCAACCGTTGCGCCACCCGGGGAGGCCCTGGGAAATAAAATATTAGCAGGGTCTTTGTATGACTAGCCCACCTGCCGAATTGTGTGCCCCAGCTAAACAGTGAGAGCCCAGGGTCTGGTCAGGGGGTTGGAATTGGGGGTGACAGTTCTTCACTCACCTTCAGGGGGCAGACGTCTAGTTTTACACATTTTGACCCCCACTCCTGCATGATAACAGAACTATGATGTGTTTGAGAAGCCGGGGACCCTAGATGCCACCAGACTTTCTTCCTGTTCTGTTCTGAAGCCTCCTTGCCGGGACCCGACAGCAGGAATGGCCCCTGGAAGGCCAAGGTCTGGGGAGCAGATCCACTTTACAGATCACCGAGGAATGGAGCAGCTGTACAGAGCCTAAATCAACAATAGGGGGTCCAGAATCCAGGGGACCAGTGTCTGAAAGGAGGCTGGTGGAGGAGAAAGAGTCTGGGCCTGGGCCTGGGCCGGGTTGCCCGTCCCTTAGCCTCCTGCTGGCCTTGCACCGGCACCTTCCTGCTGTTTTCTTGTGCTGGTGGAGTTGAAGGACCCGTGCTCACTTCCTCGCTGGCTGAGGGGGCTGCCCCACCCCCCTTGGCGAGCATGGCCTGTGTTTGTTATTGTAGTTCTGGCTTGGGGCCAGGCCTGGCTGGGCGCCAGCCTTGTGGGTACAGTGTGTACAGTGAGTGCTGAGCCAAGTTTGTCATCATACACGATTAATTTTTTTTTTCTAATCTGGTAGGGGTGGGGTGAAGGAGGAGGCAAGGAGACTTTCTCCAGTGCTCGAGAACAGGCCACGTTGAATTCTGCGGAGATGTTATTTGTGATAGGATAAAGCACGCTGGCTTGTTTGCCTCTGCCTCTTCCCTACCCCCCCCCCCCCCACATACTCACACACACTCACTTCTCTCCTGGTCTTCCCCTTCTCTGTGCATTTCCCTATCCAAGGAAATCAGCCTGTATGGGATCGACAATGTGAGGTCTTATTTCCAGTGACTAGCATACTAAATTTATACTCCTAAATCAGTTTTCATTGTGTTGAAATTGACAATTTGTTTAATTAGAAGTTTGCCCTGTAGGAGGCCCTTCTTCGAGACAGTTCTTCCTTTTTCTCTTTCTTTTTTAAGACCCTAAATAGTAGTAGTGAATGTTCCATTTAATTCAAGTTTTTATTTCCATTCGAATGTGTTAACTAATCAAGTGTTTATGAGATATACCTGATGATAACAATAAGTTTAAATTAACAAACAATAACCCAATTCATGAACTAATGAGGCTGATTCCCCTGGCCCTGGCTTCTCAGGGGTGGCTTTGGGATCGGGAGGGTGTGAGGCCCAGCACAGAGGCTGGGATGGAAGGAGAGATGTTCCTGCTGGAGGGGGAGCCTGGGGTGGGTGCAGGATTGTGTGAGGAACCCAGCCCCTCTGTGTCCCTGGGTCAGTCTGAAGTCTCCCTGCCCCCCACTTTGCTGCCCCCTCCCTTGTGGGACTGGGGTCCTGGAGCATGTACAGGCCACTGCTGTCTCTCCTGCCACTCCTCATTCTCCCTCAAAAAGTGACTGTAGCTCTGGAATGTTTTTGCAGAGACCACAGACATGGGCAGTGACTCAAGGAGGGTTGCACTTGCCTGTGTGAGGTGCCCGATAGGTAGCACTTCCCACAGCCTGGTGCTTAGAAGGGAACACACCCAGAACTCCTTGCCTTTAGTGTTCACTGGGCCGCATCCTGTTCAGGAGTTTGCCTGCTTCTCCGGTCTGCTCCTTTTACCGGAGTGCCATTCATTTCTGGAGCCAGAGGACGTTGAATAAGCACTAGCTGTAGGCTGGGCTCTGTGCACTTGACAGTGGAGCCAGCACCGCAGCCCTACCCTCAGGAGCT